CCGTCCACAGGCTATGTGGAAACCAACCTGCCTCACCCACTTCCTCAGGGCTCCACTCCCCAGTACGATCTGATGTGGGTTCAAATCAAGATAAGCTGATCTCAGTTACCGACTGGTTCGTCCCCTGCTGGACAGTGCCAGCCACCCAGCTGCTTGGAAGCACCCATGGGGTGCCCAACAGCCACACATGTGGCCCCACCTCCTCAGCTGTCCCCTCTCTGCAGCCTGTCCTTGAAAGCTTGCACCATCTTCACCTTTCAATAGGCAAGTCATCTTTTTGGGACTGCGACCTCCAATACTCACTGGCCAAACACTCCAATGGCAATTCCAATTTGGGAATTCTGGACTCTTGGAGATCCAGATTTGAATCCTGGTTCTGCAGCCATCAGTGGCTGTCCCCTAACCTCGCTGAACTTATCCTCTCAGCTGGGCAGCGAGCACAGGAGTGCCCACCTCATTATTGTAGAGGGTAAACTGGTAAAGGCAGGAAAGGCACTTAAGCCAGTGCATAGCTACTAGTAAACGAAGTCCTCAGACCTGTCTCCCAACTATGGGGACACATAGGGTCTTGGACAGTGGACAACAGACCTTTGCTCCGTTCACTTACAGCAGAGAGCAATCTAATCAGCAGCCCAGACTTCTAGGCAATATAGTCACCACTGGGGGAACCCTCCCAAACCCAGATCGCCCCGCACCGCGACCCAGAGCCCAGCTCACCCAGTTCTGACAGTTCGTGTGAATCGGAAAAGCGACCTGGAAGGAGGTAAAGGAGGCGTCGGTAAGCATTTGCCTTAACCTGCAGCTTTGGGTTCCAGGACTCCTATTCCCTACTTTCTACGGGAACCTGGACGGGACTTCTCAAGCACAGCGATCACTATCCTGATTCACAGGGAAAGGGGACCACCGGGATCAAGACCAAGGCCCCGTAGGAATAGGTCAAAGGTCAGGATGGCACCTGCCAGCAAGTAACTGAGGCCTCGCACTGCCGTCTCCAGCTGGGCCGTGGCGGCAGGGTGACGAGTCACGTACTCCTGGTAGCGGAGACCCAAAAGCCGCAGTTTCTCCATCCCACACCGGGAACAGGCAAATCCACCGACCGACTGTGTGACTGGCTCCGGCACACCGCTTCCTGCGCCCTCCTTCCTGCTTCCTGTCCTAGGCCCGCCTCTCGGTTGCTTAACTTCCGCGGGCTCCTGTTGCAGAAGCAGGAGGCCACTGGGGCAGCGCTTAGCAACTGCGAGCCTAAACCCGCCCTTCCAACTCTTTCAAGTCATTGGCTGATACGGTCTCCGCCCCCGGCCCTCCCACAGCCATGTGGCGCGGCTCTTAGCCCTACTTGGTTGGCCACCCTTGCGCCTGCGTACTTAGAGCCCAGGGAAAGCTCTAACTGCGGCAGTCTAAGCAGTTCATCTCAGAGAAAGGAGACTGAGCCCTGAGTCTTTCCAATAGAGCGCCGAGACGCTCGAATGGGAGGCCTGATTTTTTTTTTTTTTTTTTTTTTTTACAGGATTTGGAAGGTAGAGTGCGGAAGAGCTTCGGTTAGATTTAGGGAGGCGCAGAGAGTCGGACTGTGTCTCAGTAGGCGCACGTTTGGCCATTTGGCCCTGACTCTGTGGTCCCCCAGGGAGTGCTGGGTAAACTGAGTCAGCGAGCTGGACAGCTTTTTTAGCGCAATCGCACGCCTTTGGCCAGCAGATTTAGTGATCTGGCTTCGGTCCCAGCTCTCTCAAGGACTGCATTTCCAAGAGGGCGCACGTGGACGCCCACCTCTGCGGAGAAAACCCTGACCTGGGCTTCTCTGCCCGAGATGACTTTGGATTTCTCATCTACTAAATGGTTCAAACTCGGGATCATTCTCAAAGCGCCTCCAGGCCTTCGGATGCACCTCCAAAGAACGGGGACCTCGCCTAGGGCACATCTTCCCAAAGCCCTGGCGGCCACAACAGCGCTACGGGGAGGCAGCTGATTGGCTGTGGGGGAGGGGGCGTGACAGGGCTACGCCACTGGGGACGCTGCCCGCGGATTTCTGATACGTGGAGAGTAGAAATATGTTATTTTACCTAATTTCCTCCTCTAGGTTTTATCTCTAGACAGGCAAGGGTCTGTTTGAGAACTCCCAGCCATGATTTAAATGCTGGTGTAGTCTGAACGCAGAATTTTAAGGTTACCCCGCCCCTATTTTTCTTCTGTATCACATGGAGAATTGAAGATGCCTTTCCTGTCCACACCAAGAAAGACAGACGCAGGAGAGGTGGCCCTGGGATAAGGAGAGGTCCCTGTGTAGAGGATGCGATCGTGGACATATTTCTCCAGTAGCTGGGTGCCACGCTTCTCTTGGTAAACGTGCCAGTTGGCAGGAGCCCTTGTGCTCAGATGAGTTAGAGGCCCCAGTGGCAGGGCAAGGCATTAAAAGAAGCGATCCATGACAGTGCCCTCTAGCTGACTGCCCAGAGCCCCGCAGGAGCAGGGGTAGCAGTTGAGTTAGGGCGAGGGCTTGGGTATTGGGCAGTGTGTGCCTCTTGCCTGTCTCTGCTTCCTCCTCTCAGGGTCTTAAAGAACTGCAGTGGTGAGGGAGGAGCCTACTTCCTCAGTACTGAGGGGAGTGGGGGGGCCTAGGGGGTCCTGAGCCCTAAGGAGTGGGAGGGACACAGAGGAGAGACTCAAGCCCAGCATATGTAGCCTGTTTTTCCCAACTCCCAGAGGACCTTGGCAGGTCTACCGCATCCAGGCTGCCTGAATTTCCTCTCCAGATGTTGAATCTGATGGGGCCCAGAGATGAGAGCAGCAGGCAGTGCTCAGGGGCAAGACAGGCAGGGTGGCCCCTCCCTGCTGAACCCCTGCCTGGACCTGGCCTTGCCTAGACTGGCTCTTCATCCCTTCAGACCACCCCAGATCACAGGCAAGAGACGCAGATCAGTCCAGCACACACAGATGAGGACAGTGGAGGCTCAGAGAGGGGGCCTGCCTGCTCCAGGGTCACACAGCAAAGTCCTAGGCAGGGCTGGGCCAAACTGGGTCCCAGACACAGAAGACCAGTGCCCTCTTGTATGCCCAGACTTGTGTCCCTCTACCCCCAGTGTATGCCTGGAGCACCCTTTGGAGATTGGTTGGAAACCCTTCCTTTAGCCCTGCATGCCAAGGTTGAGTGACAGGAAGTCCCCCAAAGAGGGGACCTTACCTCACTCAGGGTAGGCAACAGATTCACTGATACCCATCCTAGCGAGAATTTTCAGAATGTGTCCATGAGAGGAATTGGCGGTGGGGTGGGGTGGGGGGAGGGAATTATTGGGCAAAATGAAAGACTAGAGTGTGGTCCTTGGGGCTCAGTACATCAATATAGTGCTGGGATTACAGGTTGCTCAAAATTGAACTTCAAAAACAAACAGAAAATGCAGTTTATAGTTGGATATGATCATGCAAGCCTGTAATCCTAGCACTCTGGGAGGTTGAGGCAAGAGGATATCCAGTTTGAGCTCAGCCTAGGCAATTTAGGGACAGTGAAACCCTGTCTCAAAATTTTAAAACAACTTTTATTTAGTTTGTTTTTTCTTTTTGAGACAGGGTCTCGCTATGCAGTGCAGGCTGGCTTTGGACTCACTTTGTAGCCCAGGCTGGTCTGGAACTTGCAAATGACTCTCCTGCCTCAGCCTCCCCAGTGCTGGGATTACAGGAATGCACCCGTTGAAGGGCCTGGGGCAGCAACTCAGTAAGGAGGCCTAGGGTTACTGCCCCACCCAAAACAAAGTGTAATTTTAAAAATATGATTTCCCTTGTCTTCTTTGTGCGATTATTCCTTTGACTGTGCCTCCTGACCACAATAGGATCTGCAGACCCCGGTTTCTCTCACCGACTCCCCATCCCTCTATGCACCAGACTTCTGGGCCAGGCGCTGCCTGTACTCCCACCTTGCTCCCTCACAAAAGGCCTCAAACCAGCCGGGGAGGAATCTTCCACCCTCACCCCAGCTCCAGGGTAGAGATGAGGATCCAGGGGCTGGAATTCCAAACTCTGGATGCCTGGCGGCTCCACTTTCCCCCTCCTATCGTCCCTCCATTCTCAGATGTACAAGGGCTCACCCTCAGTCTCCATAGCAACCATTACCCCTGGCCTCCAGAGACCCGCAGTGTGACCCCACTCCACCCCCAGGGACAGGCTCCAAGGCCTTAGAGAGAAGGCTGGTTTCTCCTTGGGGGTTGGGCCAAAGCCCTCAGGGGAGCCCTTGGCAGGTCCAGTGAATCCCATGGAGGGCAGGTTCTCCTCCCCACACCTTTCCACGCATACCGGGCACTTGGTATGTGTAGCCCCAGCCGGGGACCCAGGGCAGGAGGAGACAGACAGGAGCCAGTCTCCTGAGCAGCTTGTGTTCTAGGAGGGAGGCGGACACAAACCAGCCAACACCTTCAACTTTCCCCAGATGCAGGGTGAGGTGTGTGTATCAGGCAGGAAGTCAAGGGCAAGTCCCAGAGCAGCGACCTTAAGGGGAAAAGCGGGAGAGGAGTGCGGGACTGCAAGAGGCTTGAGGATGTTGGATGCCTCCATCCAACAACGGAGCCAGCCCCTGTGTCCTCTGCTGGGGCATTAGCCCCAGCACCAGTCCGGCACGCAAGACCAGCACAAGGTGCACCCGGTCCAGGGCCAGAGGCCGGCTTTTGGGGAGGGGGATGAGAGGAAGCAGAGAGCGGAGCGGCCCAAAGCCACAGCGCTCTAGATGGGTGTGGGAGACGCGGGCCACGGTGGCCCCTCGCCAGCTCGCGGGCGGGAGGTGGCCTTCAAAAGGGCGCCTTGTTCCCACTGTCCCCGGCCACCTGGACAGAAGGCGGGAGCAGGCGCCCGTCCTAGGTGCTCGGCGCGCCCTGGGCAGGTCTCGGCAGGCCCGGTCTCGCGTCGCCAGAGCAGGTGTCCGGCCCTGCGGCCCCACTCCGGTGCCGTCCCTTCCCGCGCAGGCCGCGCTCCGCCGAGCCCGTGATCCCAGGCCGAGGTCCCTCCCCGTGAGGGGACGGGGCGGAGCGCGGGCGCCGGGCAGGTGGCGGGCGGGACCCGGCCTTCGGGGGCTCCTGGCACCGCAGCCCCGGTGGGGTTCCCGTCCGCGTCTGGCGCGGGCGGGAGCCGGGGGTCTCCCCGCCCCGAGGGCCCCGAGGGGCGGAGGTGAAACCTGAGCCCAGGTCGGGGCGGGGCCGGCCGCGCTTCCCGCTGCCCCGCACCCGGTGGCGAGCCCTGGGCCGGGCGGGGCGCCGCGCAGGTGAGGCGGCTCCGCGCTCCGGGCGACCCGCGGCCCACCGCCCTCATCCCGGCCCGCAGCCCGCGATGGAGCCCGCAGCCCGGGCCCGCGCCCCGCCCTGAGCGCCCCGCGACGGCCATGCTGCCCCGAGGGCGCTCCCGGGCGCTGGCCGCCGCCGCGCTGCTGCTCGGGCTGCTGCTCCTGGCCGGGCTCTTCCTGCTCGCCGGGGACCCGCGGGCGGAGGACGCGGGGGGCTCTTGCTGCCGGCCCATGCAGCCTGAACCCCAAGACGGGCGGCCTTCGGGGCCCGCTGCGCGCGAAGGAGCCCTGCGTCCACCCAGGTGTCAGGTAGGTACCATCTGGACACCTGTGGGGCCTCCTTCGGGGCGCCCTGCTCGGCCGGCCTCAGGTTCTCCACTTGGGAAGTGCGGGCGCTAGCTGCGACATCAGGGGGCGCGACCTCCAGCCCCCAGGTGGAGGGGAGGTGCAGGCTGCTGCTGACCTGGTGTCCCCTCCCCAGCTTTTGCACGTGGCCATCGTGTGCGCAGGGCTCAACTCCAGCCGAGAAGTCGTCACCCTGGTGAAGTCCATGCTCTTCTACAGGTACAGCCAGGTGTCACCAAGCAAGGGTCAGAAGAGGCAGGGGACAAAGTCTAGGCAGGGTGCTGCTCTCTGTGCTGTGGCTTCCTCCTCTGTGACTCTGGCACCTTGTTCTCGCCTTCTTGGGAGGCTGCGGTGGGAACATCCTGAACTGGGTGTCAAGGAGCTCTTGGCAGGTGTTGAGGTTTTCACCTGTGAGCCAGGTGGAGTGAGGCTCGCCTCAGCTTCCTGCAGAGGCTTTTCAGCCTCCTTCTGTCTGCCCAAAAGGAAAAATCCGCTGCACCTGCACCTGGTGACCGACGCAGTGGCCCAGAGCATCCTGGAGACACTGTTCCGCACGTGGATGGTGCCGGCCCTCGGAGTCAGCTTCTATGATGCAGACCAGCTCAAGGCAGGAGCCCTGCTCCTTGCTCTGCCTGCTTACCCCTGGCAGTGTTGCAGCGGGGCAGAGGAGCCCCATACACCTCCTGGGGCTCAGATCCTTCACCCGTTGCCCCATTCTGATTCCCACAATGTCACCCTGAACCCCTTCCCTGTCGGCTCACACCCTGCCCTTCCCACCCACAGCCCCACATCTCCTGGATCCCCAACAAGCACTACTCTGGCCTCTACGGGCTAATGAAGCTAGTGCTGCCCGGCGTCCTGCCCCCTGGCTTGGCCCAAGTCATTGTCCTGGACACAGATGTCACCTTGGCCTCTGACATCGCGGAACTCTGGGCACTCTTTGCTTACTTTTCTGGTGAGAGGCCTGGGTCCCCACCTTCGCCAGCCCCCTCCCTCCCTTGTCCAGGTTCCTGGCAGCTGTAGGCAGCTCCCTCGTGCCCCCCTCTCCAGACAAGCAGGTGATCGGCCTCGTGGAGAACCAGAGCGACTGGTACCTGGGCAACCTCTGGAAGAATCATAGGCCCTGGCCTGCCTTGGGCCGGGGATTTAACACAGGTGAGGACAATGGTGGGGGGAGGCATGAGGAGTGGGCCACTAAGTCCCAGGGGCCGGACAGAATGCTAGGAAGCCCCCCAGGAAGAATAAGGATGTGGAGAAAACACTGGATGAACCCCCAATCTAGGCAGTTCAGTCTGTGCTGGATGGCTGACCAACCTGCTTGTTTCCTCAGAGCCTCAGCTTTCATCGATTAAATGGGGATGGTTTCAAAAGTTGTGGCATCATTAGGCAATTCTGTTGCACAGAAATCACAAGGTGTTGTTATACAAACCAGATAGGATAGGGCCTGGTGGGGTAGTGCATGCATGTGGTCCCAGCCCTCGGGAGGCTGAGGCAGATCACCTTGAGTTTGAAGCTAGCCTGAGCTCTACCTAGAGAGACCCTGTCTCAAAAATATAAACAAAAATAATCATATGGGACCACTCTATGTGTGGTTTGTCACTGCCTGAAATATCCACATACCATACTTGATTGTACCAGGAAATCAAAACATAGACATTCAGAAGACACCTTCATGGCCCCTATCCCCAAGAGCTGAGCATGACAAGCTCTCCCTGTTGGCAGGTGTGATCTTGCTGTGGCTGGACCGCCTTCGGCAAGTGGGCTGGGAGCAGATGTGGCAGCTGACAGCTAGGCGGGAACTCCTCACCCAGCCCGCCACCTCCCTGGCTGACCAGGTCTGGGAAACCTTGGTGGGGCCCGGGGTTGGGGCAGCCTGTGGGTTGAGGCGTGACGGCTGGGTCTGCCTAGGACATCTTCAATGCCGTCATCAAGGAGCACCCGGGGCTGGTGCAGCCCCTGCCCTGTGTCTGGAATGTCCAGCTGTCGGACCACACACTGGCTGAGCGCTGCTACTTGGAGGCAGCTGACCTCAAGGTGATTGGGGCAGGGGCCTGAGTGGGGGGCTGTTGGGCAGGGGAGGGGGAGGATGGGGACTCCTGGCTCCTGCTATCTGTGTCCCTGCTGATGCCCTCTTGGGTCCCAGGTGATCCACTGGAACTCACCCAAGAAGCTGCGGGTGAAAATCAAACATGCAGAATTCTTCCGCAACTTGTACCTGACTTTCCTGGGCTATGATGGGAACCTGCTACGGCGAGAACTCTTTGGGTGCCCCAGCCAGTCCCCAGCTGGGGCCGAGCAGGTGAGCCTTCCCTTGCCTTAGAGACTCCCTGGCCTTCTGCTCTGGTGGCAGGCGCGCAGCCTTGCCTGGGTTGGACATGTGCCCTGAACCCCTGCAGCTGCAGCAGAGCCTGGCCCAGCTCGATGAGGAGGACGCCTGCTTCGAGTTCCGGCAGCAGCAGCTCACCGTGCACCGTGTGCACATCACCTTCCTGCCCCACGAGCCACCCCCTCCCCGGCCTCATGATGTCACACTGGTGGCCCAGCTTTCCATGGACCGGTGAGGGTACCAAGGGCAGGCCCGGGGCTCAGATTAGGATTTTGGAGAGGTGCTTTTCATCTGGTAGCTGCCCATGGAAGCGTTCTAGAATCAGGGCTCAGAGTCATATGGATGCCTAGCGCACATTGTGGGATTTGGATGAGCTCTAACCCCTCGTGTCCTGAGTCTTCTTGAACCTGGTGGGATGGGGGAAGATTAAGAAGGAGCCCGGAAGGCAGGTGCCTGCCAGTTCCTTGGGAGGGATGTCAATTTGGGGACCATTTCCCGGCCTCCCTGGGCTCACCACCCCCCTCACCCCAGGCTGCAGATGCTTGAAGCCCTGTGCAGGCACTGGCTGGGCCCCATGAGCCTGGCCTTGTACCTCACAGACGCAGAGGCCCAGCAGTTCCTGCGTTTCGTCGAGGCCTCGCCGGTGCTGTCTGCCCGGCAGGACGTGGCCTACCACGTGGTGTACCGTGAGGGTCCCCTGTATCCTGTCAACCAGCTCCGCAACGTGGCCCTGGCCCAGGCACTCACGCCTTATGTCTTCCTCAGTGACATTGACTTCCTGCCTGCCTACTCCCTCTATGACTACCTCAGGTGGGCCGAGAGGGGTGTGTCGTGGGCAGCTGCTGCTCTGTGGTGCCAGTGTCTCCTGCGCACGGGGTCTGCATTAGGCAGTTTTTCTGGGCTTCTGAGAGCTGGGGCAGCTGGGGTGGCTCCCAACAGCAGCTCCCCAAAATCAAACAGCAGTACCTTGCTGCAAAGGAGGCACTGAGGGTGGCTCTCCTTTGAAAGAGGTGCAGGGACCAAATTCCAAAGGCAGTGTCCTCACGCTGGCCTCCTGTCACCATGCCCCTCCTCAGGGCCTCCATCGAGCAGCTGGGGCTCGGCGGCCTGCGCAAGGCCGCACTGGTGGTGCCAGCATTCGAGACCCCACGCTACCGCTTCAGCTTCCCCAAGTCCAAGGCTGAGCTGCTGGCCTTGCTGGACGCTGGCGCCCTCTACACCTTCAGGTAGGAGGGGCTGCCACTCTGCTGCTGTCCCCACACTGGACTGCACCCACAGGCTCCTCACTCAGCCTGGCCACCTGCTCCTGACGCACAGGTACCATGAGTGGCCTCAGGGTCACGCGGCCACGGACTATGCCCGCTGGCGGGAGGCTCAGGCACCATACCGTGTGCAGTGGGCGGCCGACTATGAGCCCTATGTGGTGGTGCCACGTGACTGTCCCCGCTATGACCCTCGCTTTGTGGGCTTTGGCTGGAACAAGGTGGCCCACATCGTGGAGCTGGATGCACAGGTGAGGCAGTGCCTGGCTGCATCAACCTGAACTCCTAGGGCCCAGCTTCACCTCTGCCCGGGAGGGGGCAGGGGGAGGAAATCCTTAGGCAGTGGTCAGCCTGTCCTGTCCCTCGCCCTTGCTTCAGTCCTGGGGGCTGTGGCATGAGCCTGGTCCCCAGCACTGCGGCCTCCCTGATCCCTGCAGGACTACGAGCTCCTAGTGTTGCCCGAGGCCTTCACCATCCACCTGCCACACGCGCCAAGCCTGGACATCTCCCGCTTCCGCTCCAGCCCTGACTACCGCGCCTGCCTGCAGGCCCTCAAGGAGGAGTTCCACCAGGACCTCTCACGCCGCTACGGGGCAGCTGCCCTCAAGTACCTCACAGCCTTGCAGCAGCGGCCCAGGAACTCCGCCTGAGCCTCCCCAGCTGGACCGGTGCCCTCCCACCTTCACAGCTATTTTAAGTTATTTGAGGTCTCTGTGGGTGGGCCTGGGGCCTCCCCCCTGCTGTGCCCCAGCTGGGATCCAGCCTCCCTTTGCCCCAGCTGGTTTGGGGCTCTCTTTCCCATGCTCCAGCCTGTACATTCCTTTTTGATAATTAAAGTTTTCAAGTGATGTTTATGTTCCTCTTGGTTTGGGGGATCAAGGGCTCTCCAGGGCTCAGGGGCATCAGGGATAGGGGAGGGGCGACTCCTGCTGGAGTTCCAGGTGGGCCTGGGTCCCTCCTGGGCAATGAGACTGGAAGGGTGGAGGCTGGGACTGGAGTGCCTCACCCACCCGCCCCGCCCCAACCCAACATCATGAGGCTGAGAGACTTTATTTGGCTTTATTTAGTAAAATGTTAAAATAAATAAATACAAATTGATCAGCTGCTCTGTATCCCCCCCACCCCCTCAAAACAAAAACCAAACAAACAAAAACTTTGAAGCACAAAACTCCAAATACAAGTTCTACCAAGACTGAAATCACAAAGGGCATGGACAAGAGACAGGATTAGGATCTGGCTGGCTCTCCCGCTCGGGAGCTTGCTGACCTCTGGCCTGCCCTGCCTGCCTGCCTGCCTGCAACTCACCCTGGGCTGGCAACCAGGACGCTGGCGACAGGTACAGGGGCCACGGCTGCGTGGGTGCACAGGGTGGGGAGCCCTGGTGGGGAAGAGCCGTGGACAGCGCCCAGCAGAGCCCGCCAGCCCTGCCCCCCCCCGTCAAGAATTATTCGTGAGCGCCCTGGCTCTCGAGGGGTAACCCCAGCTTCCTCCCCTGCATTCTAGTGGGAAGGCCAGAGGAGTTCGCCAGGGGCCACCAACTCCCTTGGAGAGAACTTAAATCAGGGACAGATTTAAGTCAGGGTGAGAATGGGACTCCTGTTTCCTGCCAAGGGTGCTCTGCTAAGGGGTTGGGCGAGGTCCAGTCATTTACACAGAGCAAAGCTGTCTCCATCCAACAGAAGCTACGCGATCTGGGCACCTGGGACCTAGAAAATGTCCCTGGGCCACCGCATCCTGTTACCCTAGACACTGTCCACCCCTGCAGTGGAAATCTCCTAAGTTCAGCCCTTTAGGTAAGTGAGACCACACCCAAGAAGGGGTAAAGGGAAGAGACCACATTGAGTGTGCAGCTGGGGCGGTCTGGAGCCCGTGGGGGCTCCGAAGGGGCGGACAGGCAGTGGTACTGCACCGAGGGGCCAGTGCTGCACCCTAAGCTCACCATCTGCAGCACCCCTGGGCCTGAGCCAAGCAGCAGCAGGGGCAGGGAGGCAGCCACCCAGGGAGTGCCAGTGCGAGGCTGCCCAAGCCCTGCAGCGGGCGGGAGAGACAGGCGCCACGCGGAGAAGGCCCACAGGGACTGCCCCTAGCTGGGTTTGTCCCCAAGGACCTGAGAAGGAAGGAAGAAATCTGGAATCTGATGAGCTTGGTGGGATGGGGGGGCGGGTGAGGCAAGACCCAGCAGGCTCCTTGGAAGCAAAGGACCTGCGAGCCAGGAATGCAAAATAAAGGTGAGGATCAAAAGGCGGGATGACAGCAGCAGGACCTCACAGTACAGTGGCCACCCCCACCCGCCCCAGGGCTGCGCTGGGCCGGCAGAGGAAGCAGGCAGGCAGCAAGGACAGTGAGTGAGGATGACACAGCAAAGCGGACTTCCGGCCCCCAGGGCAGGGCTGCGCCTATCTGGGACAGCCGGGGACTCCCAGTCCAGGCCTCTGAAGGGATGCAGAGCCAGCCTAGCTTACAGCTGAGGCTGTCAGAGCACGAGAAGGGACAGAAGGAGAGGAGCAGGCAGCACAGGTGGGGCGGTGTCGTGGGCCTGTGTCCAGGGTGTCCCAGCACTCTGAAGGACAGCTGAGTTCCTCCTGAGTGAAGGACGAAGGAGACAGCTCGACAGGGGCCGGGGTGCTTGCTTGACAGGATCATGGTATCCTGGAATTTGGGCCCAGGATGGAGGACAGGGCCAGGGCTGTGATTCGTACTCTGATCTGAGCTGTAGGCAAGGTCAGAAGGTAGTGGACAGTGTTCAAAGAAGCAGGCAAACCTGTCGCTTTCTGGCCTGGTCCCCCAGCCCACACCCCGCTCTGAGCAGAGGCTCCTTTCCAGAAAGGACGGTGCTGTGTGGCAAGCCCGGCTCATGGGCCCAGACACGTCCGTGGAGAGCAGAACTCTAAGGCAGCTCCGCTGGCCTCTGATCCACCGCCAGGGATTGTCCCGACGAGTCCGGGCACCTCCAAGGCTCCCTGACTAGACATAGCACCTCGGTTTCTGAATGAGAAGAGTGGGCTCCTCTGTTCCCCTCAACCGACCCGGCAGCCAGGACCTGGCCCTAGGCCTGTGCCGCCAAACCCAAATCCGTCTTTCCACACCTGGCAAGGATGAGTGTGTTGACTCTAGAAGCTTCCCTTCCCTGCGTCTCTTGTCTGTCTGTCCCTCTAGGCCTGACTGGGGGAGGGAGAAGCTAAGGGGTCTTTTCTGCCACACCTAGACTCTGGCCAGCACAGGCCTGGGCCAACTGGGAAGAGTCACAGCAGCCCAGTCCCAGGCAGAGCTTCTGCTTCCGTCCCTTCAGCCGGGGACACGCAGTGGACAAAGAGCTGCAGCGAGAACATGCTTCCAGCAGGATTTACCTCCCATAGGGCAAGACCGAGGGGGGATCTGGGCCTTTCAGAACCCAAGAGGAAAAGGCCACAGCAGGCCAAGCCAAGGCAAGCACAGCGAATCGGGCCCAGGGAGCTGCAGGTGGGCAATGCTGGGAGCCGGCAGGCAGAGAACGCGGTAGAGCCTCTGCCTCTCCACAGCAAGACAGACCCAAGGCCGCCCAGCTCCGTCTCAGACACAAATGTCCCTCAAGTGCTCCCTCCTCTGTTCTCTCGAAGCACCGAGGGCTGATGCAGCCAGCCCGCACCACACCTCCAAGGGGCAGCAAGGACGCTGGCCGGCCTTCCTCTCAGAGGCACCCCAGGCACTCGGAATGCTGGTGGCTGAAAGTCGGAGAGCAGCACCAAAGGAAGGATCGGATTGAGGCACCAGCCTTGGCTCTAGCAGACACTGCGGGGGCCGGGGGAGGACCCTGATAGCACGCACACTCCAACCGGACTCAAAAACAGGAGCCGGGATCCCTGCACCAGGAAGCAGGGCGGTCTGTGAGGAGGAGGAGGAAAAGAAGGAGGAGGAGGAGGAGGAGAAGGAGGAGGAGGAAGAGGAAGAGGATGGCGGGAGCCCGCGCTCTGCCTGGGGACTGGCCCCACCAGCTCAGAGACACAAACACAGCAAAATGTCATCATGATCAGCAGGTTCTGTGCTAAAAAATTATAACTACACGGCATTTTCTCCAGTTCTGACACCTTTTTAATAGAAATCACTGCTTTTAGGAAACAAATAGCACTTTTGTAATTTTTTTACAATGTTTCTTACCTTGATCTTAATTTAAGTAACACTAGGAAGACCTCAATATCTTTTATTTTCCTTTTTAATTAAAAAAAAGTTTGTTTTTTCCCCCAGATACAAAGATTTTTGCCCTTGCATAAAAAAACAGTGCCCCAACGATGACACAGGACTCACAAAGACTCACTGACCTCACTGACACTATGACGCCTACTCTACCATGCACGGTCTCGACTACCCTTAACTGGACTGTCAGCCTGAAAAACAGCTTTTCTATTCCTTAGTTTAGTTTTTGTTACCAAAAAAGTAAAATAAACCACAAAATAAAAGTTTCTTGAAAAAAAAAAAAAAAAGAAAAAAATTTAAAAAAGAAAGCGTTCAGAAACATCTCCACTCAGTTCACACACACCTGGGTCGCGCGCTGCTTCGCACAGGGTCTTCTCTCCTTATAAATATAGAAAGGGGATGGAGCTTGTTTTCAAGTAAAATCACCAATTCACCTTTTTTCCTTCCTGGACCACACACATCCTTCTTCCCGGCCTAGGCCAGCAAGGCCCCCGCTTGCCTTGGTCTCAGGGACAGAGGGGCTCACACATAGGGGTGCACGGTCACCAAGCGGGGGAGGGGGGACAGGGGCCCGGGAGGGCGTCAGGCACCCAGGCAGGAGCAGAGCTGGGAGGAGAGCTGGTGGCCTTCCTGGTGTCCCCCCACGCCCCAGCGGCCCTCCCAACAATGCGAATACTGCTTATGGATCTGGTTCCCACCACACCCTCCCCCTCCCTGTCCCTCTTCTGGGCACTGGGGTTGGTTAGATCTTGGTTTCCTTTTCTCTTTTTTGGTTTGGTAGTAGTGAAAGTTTAGAAACAGGAAAGCCCACACTCTTTGGACTTGTCTTCTCTACCTAGACAAACAGCTGGCAAATAAGGGTCTGAAACCTGCTCTCCTCCCTCCGCCCATCCCTGCTCCCACCCAACAAAACGAAAACAAACCCATCGTGGCTGTGGAGGCTGCTGCAGGCACACACTGGTGTATAATAGAGAGAGTAAATATATTATTTCACTTGGCATGGTGCTGGCAAAGAACCTCCAGCTGGCACTATTTCATGTAACATGGTCCAATCTTTGCATGTACACACAGAATAAGAAGGATCAATTGGCAAACTCGGGTGCCACCTGGCACAAGCATCTTCTCTCTCTCTGGAACCAAAGAACCAAAAGAATTCTGTACTTTCCAGAAGCGATCCGGCTTTGCTTCTCGAGAGTCTTCAGTGTTGCTCGCTCATCGCCGCCGGGATCCCGTGGCTTCTCCTCAGGGCTCTGTTATTTAGTCTCGTCCCCCGGGGTACAGTTCGCTGTGCAGCTCTGGGAGGACGACGGGGAGGGGGCGGGCGTGGAGGCGGGCGCGCTGGCAGGGGGGGTGCAGTCCGGGCCGTTGGAGATGGCCCCCACAGCGGCCTCAGAGTCTACGGGTTTGGAGAGGTCGATGCCATGGATGAGGCGGATCAGCTGTTTCACCTTCTCCAAGGAGCTGTGCATCTCCTTCTGCCGGGCCAGGATGGTGTTCTTCATTTCCATGCATTTCTGCAGCAAATGAGAAGGCGGGCCCTGAGCAGCTTGCTTCTCCAAGGGCCTGGCAGCCCCAGGAAAGAACCCTGTGAGCCAGTGTGCAGCCCCCAGAACTCGCTCAGTTCCACCTGGAGTGGTAGCTACTTCCTGAGGAAAGGGAGGCCCCCGAGGAGCAAGAGAAGGGACAAGCAAACAGGCTAAAAGCCCGTTCCACTGGACACTGGCACTTCATACCAGACTCATACAACCACCATGAAACCATGAAATGAAAGTCACCCAGAACTTCCCCAGGGGCCTGACACCAGCTGCAGCAGGCACGGCTCTGCCACACCAGCAGGTGGCCCTGAGAACCACACTAGCTCTGGATAGAAAACCAGCTAGCAGTGCCTCTGGGTTCCAGCTGAGTGCCTTGGCAGCACTTGTGGACTGTGGCCACAAAACCCCTTCTGCCCTCAGCCCCACAGTTGCTGGCGCCCGTGTGAGTGGGACAGCTCCATAGCCATGGAGCTTCCTGAGCCATGGCACGTACTCCTGTCTGCCAGGCTCGGTGCCCCACCCAGCCAGGGTAGGCCAGCAGCACACATTTCTGATAACTTCCCTGGGACCCTCCGTCACACTGCTCAGCATGGCTGGGAAATGCTGTCAGCACAGTGTGCAAGAAAGAGGGCACAGGAAGGCCGGAGGCTGGACTTCCTAGCTGGGGACCAGAAGCAGTCACACTGGGAACCGCTGGTCTGCGTCACCCAGGGTCAGGCGAGGCTCCACGGTCTTTCCAGACACAGACGTGGTCAGGAATGCTTGGGGCAGACACTGCACTGCTGTGGCTGCTACTTGATCCGCACACGCTCCAGACAGAAAATCCTCTCAGATTAAAGCCGAGCAATGCTGCAGAGCTCGGGTAAGGTGCCATGGGAGCGGAACACTCCCTGCAAGGTGACTGCGTGACTGGCTGCACCCCCCCAGGCCCCACCCTGGGTCTTGGGGCTGCAGTCTACCACCTGAGGCAGGGCGCAGACTTACACTTATAGAATTGCTGAGCTGTTTCACCTTCTGCTCTAATTGTTCTCGCTCTTGTTTTAAATCTGAACTCCATTTAAGTAACTTCTGTTTCTCTTCTTCTTTAGCTGGAAGAAAAGAGACAGTTTTTATTTTTTATTTTTTGGTACCAGGGATTGAACTCATGGCTGTGTGCTTGCAAGGCAGGTGTTTATGCCGCTGAGCTAAATCCCCGGCCCTAAAAGGACAGTTTTTAACAATAAATTAGTTGAAAAGGCTCCTGGGTTCAGAATGCTTGCCAAGGAAGGTACTTTCCCTAAAGAGACCCCCCGAGTCTCATGGCTGCAGCCCGGAACTCCCCCTACCACTCCACCACCCCTGGCCTCTGTCTAGGTTTGTACAGAAGTGTCTGAAGCTCGGGCTGGTCTTCACAGAAAATCTCACACTTCTCTTCCTTCTGCCCTAAGAAGGTGGCACACCAGCTTTCTGCTTCATGCAATAAAGGGTTTTCATTGTATTTTATTTGGGTTTTTCTGAGACAAGGTCTCATCATATGGTCCAGGCTGACCTTGAACTCAACTGTGTCACCCAAACTGACCTTGAACTTACAAGATACTACTGCTTTAGCCTCCCAAGTGCTGGGATTACAGATGTGCACAACTATGCCGAGTTTTGAAAACAAAACAAATACTGCCTTCCAATTTTTTCCTCCAAGTACTGGGGACTGAACCCAGAGTTTTATGTATGCAGGGCGAGCATGTTATCACCAAGCTGCATCCTCAGCCCCTCTTATTTATTTTTTCAGACATGTTTCACTAAGTAGTCCAGATTGGCCTCAAACTTACAATCCTTTTGCTTTCCAAGTAGCTGAAATTACAGGCGTATGCCACTGTGCCTGGCTAGCAATTTCTTCCTTTTTCATTTTTTTGAGACAGAGTCTCACTATGTAGTTCAGGCTGCCTGAATTCACCATGTTCCCAAGCTGGTCTGGAACCTCAGCAATCCTCCTGCTTCAGCCTCCTGAGTGATGGAATTACAGGCGTGTACCAACATGCCTGGCAGTAATTTCTATTTTAAGAACGTGAGCTTTACTGAAAGAGGGCTATGGGTATTCCTTTACCTGCTTTGTAGGCAATATAGGAATGCACAATTGCTAAAGTTCCAGGCCATGGGATTGCTTCTTCTTTCTTCAGCATCTGAAAAGAATGTGAGAATTCTTCTTGAAAAGGAAGGAAGCATAAACACATACCCTCCATGTTAAGAGCAAAACACAGTGTCTGTGACTCTGGCAAATGAAATCAAGGAAGGGTTTGTAGCTTCCGGCTACCAAGTGCTAAATATCTAAGGCTACAAGAATCAAGGCACTTGCGCCTGGGCTTAGAAGGAGGCCAGGACCTGGCCGAGCATTCCCACCTGCTCATACAGGCCACTCTGCCTCAGCCACTCCGCCCGGCTAGAGCTGCCAGTACCAAAGCTGCACGCCAGGATGGCAGACGTCACAGAAAACTTCATCCATGAACTCACGTAGGCTGTGTTTCTCAATTTTACTATGTCCCTCAAAGACTTGTCCCCCACTTTTTTTTGAACTGGGGATCGAACTCACAACTTTGCACTTGCCAGGCAGGCGTTTGTGCCGCTGAGCTGAATCTCCAGCCCTGACTTTTTCCTTTTAATGTGGTTCTGGGAACTGAACCCAGGGTCTCGTGCACACTAGGTAAGGACTCTAGTGCTCAGCCACATTCCCACTTTTCTTTTTTGAGACAAAGTTTCACTATGCAGTTTAGGCTGGCCTTGACTTTACTTTGTAGCCCAGGCTGGTGTGAAATTGATAGAGATTCTCCTGCCTCAGCCCCCAAGCGCTGGGATCACACGTGTGGCACCACCCCCAGCCCCAGGCCTTATTTTAGTTTTCGTGGTTGTTTGGAGGTAGGGCCTTGCTATGCAGTACAGGCTGCCTCAAGGTGCTTCACTCCTGGTGATTCTGCCTCAGGCCCCCCTCCCCCCACCGCCGCTGGGATTACAGGATTACAGGTGTGGGCACCATGCCCAGCTACTTTTGTTTGTTTTTGTTCTAAAGCAAAGTTTTGTTACATTGGCTGGCCTTAAGTTTGGAATCCTCCCTACCTCAGTGTCCAGAAAAACTGGGATTAGAGTTATACTTGGCTTCCTAAAAGACATTGTTTTTGGTTTTTGGGTTTTTTTGGTACCTGGGATCAAACTCCTGACTTCACGCTTGCCAGGCAGGCACTCATGTCACTGAATTAAATCCCCAGGCCTTGAAAGACATTTTGACCAAGGAAACTAAGTATCAGTTCTAAGTTACTAAAGCATAATCTAGATCCTGTGTGAATTATCAAAAGGTCACACAGCAGCATCAGAAGAGCAGAGAAGGCCGCTCTACTACACTGGAGGCAGTGGGACAAGGCCCAAGATTAGAAAGGGAAATGTAGAAATCTCTCAAATCGCTGAGTAGGATTCCAGTGCTTACTGGGCCAAGTATTATTTATACAGTACTTTGCCTATTTCCCAAAGATTTGAGGCTGCCCCAGTCCTAGGCCTCTGCACTGAGCTGCATACTCAGCCGTTTTTTATTTTGAGATAGTCTTACTAACTTGCTAAATTGTCTAGGCCAGGTTTGAACTTGTGATTCTCCTGCCTCAGTCTCGCAGAGTGCTGGGATTAGAAGTATGTGCAACTACACCCAGCTACAGTAAAATCTTTTATAAAGACAAAAGTACAAGAATAACTGAGAACATGAGACCAGGAACCAAACAGAGAAGGAGGGAAGGAGCTAAGACAGTTACTAATGTGTGCGCCTCCTGTGTCTGAAATATCAAGACAGCACTCTTTACAGTTAGTTCTCTAAGCCTAATAATGATAACAGATTTTAAAGCTGAAATGGTTGTTACTTGAGCTAATCAACTGAGTACTTCTCTTTAAGGATTTTATTCCCAAGGGAGAGTTCTAAAACCATATACTGGGTTTGGACCTTTTTTAGAGGATGAAGCGGGATGAACTTTTGAGGGTCTTGGCATTTAAAGAGAAGGTAAGTATTTCAGGTAGAGGGAAGCAGGCTGGACTCTCCACCTCAGTTAGTGGAGCAGAGACTGAGGGCTTGAGGCTGTGCCTGGTGCTGTGCACAGGCCGAGAAGGTGTGGTCTGGAAAAGAACAACTGGGAAGAGGAGAGGGTCCTGCCCCTCCTCCTGGGCTCACCCTGGTCCGAGCCACCCCCACTACCTGGTCTTGACATCTGGGACAGATCCACATGCCCTTGGGGATGGTTTTCAGAGGCGGGTCGAGGCAGTCCAGGTGATACACACGGGAACACGTGTCGCACATCAACAACTGGCCGCTTTTTCTGCAAACACTGCAAAAATCCTCGTGGATATCACCCTATGAAATTGAGAGGAAAGGTAAGAAAAGGACAAAAAAGGTAAAAGTTTAATGTTAACATATACATTCTAGATGCATATTTCCCTGGCTCATCAGGGTCAGGGAAAGGGGGAGCGGCTGCTGGCACGTTCCCGCCGGCTCCACAGAGCTGAGGTCCCCAGGCAGGGGTAGAATTTTAAACTTTAGTTATTATAGGGAAGCTCAATAATCACCTAGACCAAAATTAACTTTGTAGGCTACAGCTCAGCATTTATGATGTTTGCTAAGAGTCCAACCCACAATTCAGAAATTTTATAAGCAGTGAAATCCATTCATCAAACTGTATCACAATAGAATTCAAACAATCTTCATTAGCATTTTACAGGACGAGTTTAGAAGAACTGGGGAAGATAGACAAGAAGTAAAGTTTTACTAAACTCCTTGCTTACTAAGGGGGAAAACACAGTAAAGTTCAAATGGGAAAATACTGAGACAGGAACACATTAAAGTCATACAAGCTTTCTTACATCAAGAAGCTAAAGCGACAGCTGACTAAGTTCCCTTAAAGTCAGTGTTCGGCTTTGCTATTTGATGGGCCACTCTGTCCTAGGAGGCTTTATCCCCCCACATGAATACTTCATTGCATGGAAAAAGACAAGTGGTCCTGGGCCACTTTGCTTCCCTTCCCACCACAGTGATAGTGTTAGTACTCAGGTGAGTCTGCTGGAGCCCTCTGAACAGAAGACGCTGTCAGAAAAGCAGCAGACCTATTTGAAATTTGGAGAATACAGGAAGGAAACAAAAGTTCTTAAGGAAGTATTTTCAGCAAGTCAATCCCATCCTGTTCTCTACACAGGATTAATGCTGATGAGGATGCCAAGGACTGGAGGATGGAAGGGACAGGGCAGAGGCGACTCTGCAAGTCAGTGCAAGTGTTGCTTTAAGATTTCTAGGCCTTGGTGCTTGAAGGCTAGAACAGGACTTTTTCTTATGGGCAGCAAGGCCACAAAGCAACGGCCAGTCCTCCCTTTCTATGGGACAGGCCTTTCCAACACCGCACTCGGGGCAGAGCTCTGTGACCCAAACTTCCTCTCTGAAGCAGAAGGCAGAGAGTACTGAAAATAAAGCTAATTAATTTCTTTCAAGTTGCTAAAGAAAATTTCTTATTCCAGTTACATACCCTAAGGCAGTGGTTCCTAATAATTTTGGGTCAGGAATCCTTTGCATTCTTAGAATCACTGAGGAGCCCCGAAACTCTTGGTAATGTGAATTATACCTATGATATTTGCTGTCCTAGAAAGGAGCTTTAATTTGGGAAGGAGGTTACTGGGGACTGAACAGGGCCTTGCATATGCTAGGTAAGCACTCCGCCATTGGGCTACACCCGCGGCCCTTTTATTAGACACAGGGTCTTGCTAAGTTCGCTAGGTTGGCCTGCAACTTTCAATAGTCCTGCCACAGCCTCTTGAGTCACTCAAATTATAGTCCTATGGTACTGCAGTGGGCTAAAACTTTAACCTTTGAAATAATAACTATAGGAGCACAGAAAGTTACAAAAAATGGTTTTTGTTTGGTTTGGAAGCAGTGGAGACTGAACCCTGAGCCTTTGCTCTGAGCCCCTTTTCACATTTTATTTCAAAACAGGATCCCACTAAGTCACTAAACTGTTCAGGATGAGTTTACACTTGTGACTCTTTTGCTTCAGCTTTCTGGATCACTGGGATGTCTGCCACCATGCCTGGTGAAAGATTTAAAAATTCAAAAATATATCAGCATGTGCTCTGTAGCAGAAAATACTGCCCCCCCCCAAGTTTCTGTTAGTTTCTTAGGTAATAGTTTTTTATTACAGTTCCCATGACTTGTTTCTTAGAAATGGTTGGTCACTGTGATACGCAACTGGTCACCAGGATGCACAATGTAAGAATCTAGACAGCCAAGTTACTCTGCTTCTCTATACTTCCTGCTTGCAAACTCCATATAAGCCCAGACCACCAGAGATGAGGGCCTGATATTTTGGGAATGATCTCAGTCAATGCTTGTGGATGTAAATAAGTCTGCCTCCAAATCCTAGGTGATGTTTCAGTGTTTCTGTTGCTGCTATATCTGGTGCATTGACCGGGAAGACTGACGTGCTGACCTCTTTGGCCACTGGCCATGGCCCTCTCAGACCAATGGGAAGATGCACCCTTGAGATTGCTCGAGTCCCCTCAGAAGTCTAGAGGTGCATTCCCAGCTCCCCATTTGAGTAGCTCACAGCAGATGTAAAAGGGAGGAGGACACCTGTCGGTCTGTCTGCCAGATTCCAGAGAGAGCCCCAGGGATACCTCAGTTAGTCTGTCTGTCAGTCCTACTCAACTCCAGCAGAAGGAGAGCCTGATCAACTCTCGTTACTCAGGACCACCCTCGAGGAAAGAGGGTTGGGATGTCTCACCTCTGAGTGTCTGAATGACTGCCAGGGGCACCCAGTGGCCTATGTTGAAGACACTGGGATCCAGTCTCTTAGGACTGCCTTTGCCTCCATGCTCTAATAACCACTGTCCTGATCAAAAAAGCTGACAAGCTCACCTTGGGCCAAGACCTAACTTCCCAGATGCCACACGCTGTAATGGACCTCCTAAATAATTAAGGATCACTCAATCCTGCTACACATCTGCCCACCAAGCTGGGTCCACCAGACCATGACTGCCTGGCACTAACTGATGAACTGTTCTCCAGCCAACCAGAATTAAAACTGAAGCCCTTGACAGATGCAGAATACACCCTGTTCATGGATGGAAGTAACTCTATTAGAAACAGAGTCTGACAGGCTAAATACGCTGTGGTCACCTTGGACAAAGCTATTTTAGCCAAAGTTTCCTGCAAAGTTTCCTGGTTTGCACAGCAAACTGAAAAAACAAAAAGGTCTATCAGTTCCTGCTGCTATTTAAAACCTGCCACCAACAATGCCAAACCTGTACTCAAAATAATCTGGTCCAGAGGCCTAAGCCCTCTCTGGGGATCTGATTGACTAAAACATCAACTCCAGCCAACAAAACTCCTCCCGGACCTCCCAGAAGATCCATCAGAGGCAGACCTGCCCCCATTGTATGTTCTGCAAACTCAAGCTGCAGCTCTGGCACCTCACCCCTGCGCCAGCCTGGGCTTCCGTGTTTATGTCACTGGCCTTGACCTCCACCTGGCATGCAATATATAAAGACATACAGATAGACTCCTCAAAAATAAACCTTACAGGGTTACAAATATCTGTTAGTGCTCACCTGCTCCTACTCAGGCTGGCCCTAGACATTCCCTATCTGCAATGGTAAAACAACAGAAGTTTGTAACATCCTGCTGTAATAATGGGCCTACATTTGTATGTTGTTTGGGGGGGAATTTTTGCCCCCCTCCCCCTTTTAAAGGCAGGTATTGGCCTTGCATTCACTTTGTAGCCCAAGCTGGCCTTGAACTCACTGTGGTCCTCTTGCCTCTGCTTCCTAAGTGCTACAGGTGTGCACCACCAAGTCTGGCTCAGACCTACATTTGTAAACACATAACATATAGACCACAAAGCTCTAAAGAAGTTAAAAAAACCAACCAACCAACCAAACAAACAAAAAACCCCATAACCCTATAGGAATAGCTTGTAACCAACTCCATAAAAACTTAGGTAAGAGACAAGCCATACCTGTAAACATCCCTGCACACACATATAACCCAGGTGCATATTAACTACCTCTACAAGTTTCAGAAATCCAGCTTTAGATCCACCATTCTCGAGTTTAAAAAGCCCATCCAGACAACTGCTGAAGAGTTTACCTAGACCAGACAGCTCCTTTAAACCTTACAGTAAAAAAATGATGCGCTCAAAGCCCTGCTCTGGTCACTCCGGCCCCTGACCAGTTCACGTGTGGTTAAAGCCCGAGGATACCATCCACAGACCTGCTCCACACCTCAATGCATCATTCCCCTTGAGTTTTATGCCTTGTCAGGCTGCTTACCCTGCCTTGCTTCCACTTCAGCGTGCATATACTGTACTCTCCAATTTATTCTTTGCTTCCTGCCCCTCTACTAGCTTGGCTTTTGCTTTAGCTCTATGGATGGTTACCCCCTAAAAATAATTAGCCAAAACCTTGACAAACATCCAAGGCACACTGGGCGCTCTCTTAAATCAGATTAACTCCCTCACTCCTTTGCTAGAGTAATAGTATAAGTCATGGCCACTAAGGGGAAAACATGTCTCTTCCTAAAAGCAATTTAGGAAGAAACTTTATAATTAAAGACACAAACCACAAACTCCTGGTAAAAACTTTCCAACCTTGGGAACCTTGACTAGGGCCCATCCTAGGACCACTGACAGCCTTCATGTTACTGCTTCTAGTTGGGCCTTGTCTCAGAAGATCACATGTAACATGCCCAGCAAAGACTTGCAGGGAAACCAGAAGAGTGGGGAAATGGAGCAGAAAAATACCCTCCGCGCCAGTCAATACACTTCAGTTTCTATTAGTTTCCCAGATAACAGCTCTTATTACAGCTTCTGTCACTTCCGTGTCTTAGAAATGGCTGGTCACTGTGATACACAGCTGGTCACCAGGATACATATTGCAAGAATCCAGACAACAAAGTACTATGCTTCTACTTCCTGCTTGCAAACTCCAAATAAGTCCCAGACCACCAGAGATGAGGGCTGATATTTTGGGAATGATCCCAATCAATGCTTGTGGATGTAAATAAATCTGCCACCAAATTCTGGATGATGTTTTGGTGTTCCTGGTGCCACTGCATTCCATGGCCAGTATATCACGTATGTACTAGTCTCTGGAATATTCCACAGGTCCAGTCTTGAGAGAATGAGAGTAGTAAGGCAAATGGCATTTACCTATTTAGGGTTTTGAATCAGGGTCTCATCATGCTGTTTAGGCTGCCCTTGACCTCACTATGCGGCCCAGGCTAGGCTCAAAATCCCAGCGACCCTCCTGCCTCGGTTTCCTGAGTGTTGGGATTATAGGTGTGTGCTACTTACTACACCTGTCATATGGCATTTACTGTTATGAAAATTTTTTTAATTTTTAACTTTTTTGTATTCGGTATCAAACTCATGCCCTCACACTTGCCAGGTAGGCACTTGTGCCACTAAGCTATGTGTTTGGTGAAAAGTCCTTTTTTAAAGGAAGAAGAGTCCATGTCTTTTTTTAAAATTAGTATATGCTCATAATACATAATGGATACATTCATCCTAGGGGATCGGTACATGAACACGTTGGGTCTTGGTCCTTTTTACTTCTCTTTCCCCTCCCCTCCCTCTGTCTCCCTTGATCTCCAGATGCTCTTCCCATCTCTGCAAAGTCTACTCCCTGTTCTAATTATCTATCTCTTAGTTTGCTCCTTAAATTACTTATACTCAGTCAGGCATGGTGGTGCACACCTGCAATCCCAGCACTCGGGAGGCTGAGACAGGAAAATCACTGTGATCACTGAACTATCAGGCAAGATTGTCTTACAAAAAAAATTCTATGCTTTCATTTTCCCATACAATAGAAACCATGCAATACTTAACTTTCTGTGTCTGATTTATTTCACAGCATTACAGTTTCAAGGTCTACCCATTTTCCTACAAATGACTTAAATTACCCCTCATTATGGTTGAGTAGTACTCCACTGTTTAAACATACAATCGTCAGTTGATGGACATACAGGCCTCTTCCAAGAATAGGTTTCTTTTTTTTTTTTTTTTTTCAGGATCTTGCTACATAGTTCAGCTTTGCCTTGAACTCACTATGTAGCTTGGGGTGGCCTCAAACTCTTGGTGATTTTCTTGCCCTAGCCTCTCATGTGCTGGAATTACAGGTGTGTGCCACCCCACCTGGTCTAACGGTTTTGATTTTGTAGTCCCCTGAAAGAGTCTCTGGGGCCCCAGAAGAATACCTGAGAGGTGCTAGCCAACAGAAATAAATATAAAAGGCCAAGGCATTTCACCCATACAGAGTAGGTTCTTTTCCTAAAAGGAGCTCCGTGAAGGTAGGCACTATACCCGGTCAAAAAAGGCTTAAGTTTCAGTGATTGTTCAAATTATGACCATAACCAAATAGTCAGCAGAAAGATCCATGATATTTTGCTAGGAGAGAAGGGTATGCTGGCTCTAACAACTCCAAATTCACTGTGTGCTAAAAAAGTTTATAATTATGTCAACATATCTTTTCTTCTCATAAAAATGATGATAGCAACAAGGTACATCCTGAGGATTAGTGTCTGGCTGGGTCTTGTATTACCAAGTCCTCTTAGACTGTTATTGATCCCCAGGAAACGCTTGCCTCTCAACTGTTACTGTTTAATTAATGTTGTTGAGGCTGATGCTACCCAGTAGCAAACCCACAGAATCCTGCGTGTTGATTTTAATCACTGCTGCTATTGGGATACTGCAAAAGTAGAAGTCAATTATCTTTTCAAAAAAAATCTATTCCACTGGGTTTAACTTGGGAAATTCTGAACATATTTAGTGGTTTTAGAAAAGCTTTCTTTTACCTTCAGATTTTGGAAAAAGAATAATGAGACTTCTGACAAGAATAATGTTGTATTTTAAGATGAAACCTGGGAGAAATTTTAAAAGTCTGTGATTTGATCTGGATCTTTTGGGTCTAGACTTGAAAAAAACAAAACATAAACCTTCTCAACAATAACAACAACAACAACTATTATTACTACTAAAGCAACACTACTTAGAAGAAACATTAATGTGCACAAATATAAAACCCTCCCCGCACAGATGCATTGGCGAGCCATAGCACAAAGCCCAGCTGGCATCTCTTTGGCAATACTGTGACCAAGGAAATGCTGGGACGATTTTTGGGGCCAGTAAGCAAGGTTTCTGAAGGAGATTCCTGGTGCTCATTAATAGGGTAGTTAGAGGACCTGAATCAATTATTAACGCAAAAAGTTAGGAAACTGGCTGCAGTGCTGACTCTTTGGAGCGGTGATGAGTCTGCAGCTACCAGCTGTGTTCAGCAAAGGGCACCTGTGAGAGAACAGTACCCTCCTATGATCTGCATCCCAAAGATAATGCTGCCTTTGTTGGCTCTGGCATTTTAACTGTGAATGTGCATTGGTATCTTTTCGAAAGATTATGCCATTAAGAAGTTCTGAGAACATTCAAGTTCAAGGAACATTTTCTCTCCAGATGATCAACAACAAAAGAACTGGGACATGGTCAAAATGAAATTCTTGGTTTTTCTTCTCAACCCTGTTCTTACAATCTTTACTAAAGTGGCAGCTTCAACCTTCTAGTAGTTATTTAGGACACAATTTTGTATGTGCTGCTGAAGCGAGAACATAGGGCACAGTTTTAGATTTAACCTTGACTACTCTTTCTTATACTCGGTATGCAGCCCTGCCGGTGCTGCAAAACGCACACAATCTTGATCACCTTTTTCCACCTCTCCTTCTACTGTCCTCCTAGCCAGGCGTCACCAGCATCTCTTGCCCGGATGACTGCAGGTGCCTCCTGCTAAGTCTCTACTTCTGCGCTCCTTGCGCCACATTTTGAACACAGTGCTTCTTTTAAAATCCAAGTTGATTTTACAAACACCTTAAAATAGCAAAATGTAAGCAAGAACTATCAAAGGATGCTAAAATCACTGGGTAACAATCTGTTGGGAAACTGGATGTTTATAGGGACACAAAGTGATCCTCTCCTACCACAGGGAACAGGAGCTGTACGAGGGAAGGACTCTGAGGGAAATGATCAGCGGCCTGACAGCCACATCCCTAACAATGGCGTATGTGGGCTGCACTGGCCTCCTGTGATGATGCACTGAGAAAGACCCACCATCACTTCCTTAGTCCCACAAAAATGCACATCTGCTACCTAATCTTGAAGGAACAATCAGACTGCAATTGGAATGGAGAAGCACTCTCCATGCCGAGTGGCCGAGCTTTTAAAAATGCCAATGTTAAAAAAATGCAAAAAAAAAAAAAAAAAATCAAGTTGTATCACGTACAGGTACAAATTCCCTGTGATGAATGCGACTGTTATATACACCTAAATGCTCCAATAAATTAATTTTAAAATGCCAGTGTTATCAAAGACACGCTAAGAAACTGTTTCAGGATAAAGGAGACTAAAGGCATAATTCCATGACAATAAATGTCAAGAGCAATTTTTGACAGGATCCTGCAGCAGAAAATAACAACCACGAAGGCAGCTATTAGGACAGCTGCAAGAAACCTGAGTAAGAACTGCATACTATGTACTAATAGTTATCAATATTAAATTCTCTCAAAAAATACACTGTGGCTATATAATAGAATACCTTTGTTTTTAGGACACATGCACTGAACCAGTTCTGTTTTATGTTTGAGACGGGGTCCTTCTATATAGCCCAGGCTGGCTTCGCATTTGCAATTTTCCTGCCTCGGCCTCTCAAGTGCTGAGATTAAAGGTATGTACCACCATGCCTGGTAACACACTTGAAATATTTTGGTGTGAAGAATCAGAAAGTTTGCAACTTTTCATTGGCTCAGTTAAAAAAAAAAACATGTGTGCACGTGTATGTGCACACGTGTGTGTTTAGGGCAGAGAAGCAAATACAGCAAAATTTTAACAACTGAACTGTTAACATATATGTTTGTTCACTGAACCATCAGTGTAATTTTCTCTAAGTCTGAAAATTTTCAAAATAAAATCCTTTTTTTGCAATTGAAATAACGCCACAAAACCCTGCTAAGCACCCTGTCACCTCCGGATGGATATGATCCCCTTCTGCCCTGGCCCTCGTGCTTGGTACGTCTTCCGCTATGCCGCATGCATGGCCACCTCAGAGCTCTGTGCTGCTCTTTTCCATGTCCCTGGGGTTCACAGGTCACTTCCTATCAAAGAGGCTTTTTTGGGGGCTGGGGGGTAACCGGGGATCGAACTCATGACCTCATGCTTGCCAGGCAGGCACTTACACTACTGAACTAAATCCCCGGCCCACAGAGGCTTTCTTGAGCCCTTCCTCCTGAGACAGGAGCTACCGGCCACTCCAGTCTTCCTACATGGCACCTATCGCTCCTTGATTTTCACCTATGGGCACTTTCTTCCCATGGAGCAGAAAGTCCTTGAAGGCCGGGCACTGACATTGTTCCTGGCTGAGTCCCCAGCCTCAGAACGCTATTACTTGCTCAACAGAAGAGTGCTCAGTAAGAACTTGTTCATGAATTCACAGTTTTGTAAATGCTTATTTGAAAAAACCAGAGCACTTGTTGACACTCCTGAAGTTTCTGGGAGAAGGACTGCTAAGTATTTGACACTTTTTCAGGAATGCATTTCTGATGGACTCTGCCACATGCAGTTGCTCCACAGATAATTTTCCACTTCTGGAACTACACTTGAAGCAGGAAACAAGGGTGCTTAGGGGAACGTACGCCGCATTCCCATTCCCCACTCAACACCGGTGACAGAAACCTGCGTACCCTGTAATTACACCAGTGAACAGTTTCCCCACCCACCCCTCTTCTGAGAACTCACTCACAGGCCTAAATCCCTGAGCTTCCTGAGCACAGGAAAGGCCTGGCCCCCAGAGGGGAGCTGCCTGCTGTGGCGTGCACGGCATTCCACAGGGTGTCCTGCTGTTCTGGGGTACTCAGGGCAGGCTGGCAAGGAGACAACACAGGACAATGGTTTTCCCAACAGGTGCCGATATGCACTCTCTGAAAGACAGCGCACTTCCCCAAGTTACTTACGTCTGTGGAGGTGGGGCTGGGCAGGGACACAGGCTGCACAGGTTGAGGGAAAGTGAATGTGGTCTCTGTCTTTTCACTTTCGGGGGAGTCGGGATGACTGGATGGGGGGGATGTTGGGGTAAGGGCTCCAAACCCCAGCACTGCATTGTATTTTGGAGGACGACCTATATACCAAGAGAAGGGAACAAAAGGGAAAAAAGGGGGAGGGAAAGAGAAGGGGAAAACGATCTTACATACCTTTGGCCAGTGTTCCTCATTGGCTAGCATGGAAAAGGAAGTGAGGTAGCAGACAGAAGGTTAATACAACAGTCCCAAAGGGAGAAAGAGAAGCAAAGATTTAAACGACATTAGAAACAACTACACGTATCTCTCAAGGCTGAAGAGAGTCTGGGGGAGAGAGAGGAGGTGCTGGCCATGGAACAGACCTCACTGTGGGCAGACTACGGTGAAACTCCTGGACTACTGCAATTTGAGATTTTGAGCACCAGGACCAACACATGAGAGGCTGTGGAAGTCAAGGCCAGGCACGCAGGCGTTTCCTTCCCATCCTTACGTGCGGCTCTCTACGATTCTTTGCACTTCTCCTCCTACTGTAACACTCGTGATTCCTGGTTCCCACAGGTGGACGTCCTTAGCCTCTCTGCCTTCCATGCCTCTCCTGTCTGCACTTTGGGCATTTTGTAGCAGGTGAAGCTGGAGAAGGCAAAGTGAGGAGGAGAATGCAAGTGACCCTCCTCAGCCCTGCTATTAGGGCCTTTGAGACAGACATTCTGGGAGAAGCTGGAAGCTAAGCACAACCAGAGGATCTGGGCTTGACAATAAATTTGGGCATTCTGGCCCTGAACGTTTTCCCCTGTAGACCGAAAGCTATCTCCATTCTGGTGAACTACAACAGGGGTCATTCCAAAGCTGCAGGGAAGGGGCTGCCGCCAGCACTCCTGAGAGGCATGGTCTGAGGCAAGCACACTTTAAACTAAACCTCCTTCTGTGAGGCTTCCACACATGAGCTCTTGGGGTGCAGAAATTCTAGGGCCAGCCACTCATACCTAGTATACATCTAAGCAAGGGTCCTCATCTTCTAAGAGCTAGGACCATAGAGTCTAAAATATGAGTGAAGAGGAAGGTAGCTCAGTGCCGCAGAGGCCCAGAAGTGCTTGTAAGCACTGGCAAATGTGTGTGGGACTGCAACTTTGCTAACAGTTACAGCTGACGTTAGGGCTCCACACCGACTCACAGCGCTATCCACCGTTTCACCAGCACTACCTGTGCTAGACTGGCAGTGTCTACTGTACTAAGATAGATCTTACTGGTTTGTCTTTTCTAGGGAATATGGTGCTGCAAAGGGAGAACTGAAGATAAATGCTTTTTGTTTACCTATGGAAGGCACATCCTAGGCATTGCAAATGCAGGTTTTATTCTCTGACCTTGGCAACAGACTCCAAGGACTTGCTGGCTCATTTAACCCCTGTCCTCTCAGCAGATACTGCCCAGCAGTAGGCCGATTAATTGTGGTCTCTGGCTGGGGTCTTGTTTCTGAGAATTGTGTCAGAGGTCACCAAAATAAGCCGAACACAAAACAACAGAAAATAATTTATGGCTCTAGTTATTTTGGCCCAGGAGTCAATATAAAACAGTAACTTAGAGCTTACCATCCAAATATTTTTGGTTATTTGAAGGACAGAACTGCTGTAACATTAGAATGGCTCACTGAGGGTATGACACCTTTTGTGGGGAAGGTATAGCTGTGTTCTGCCTAAGGCGGACAAAGGGTCAGGTTGACTTTCTAAGCTTCTGATGGCTCAGAGACTGTGTGCGCATACACAGAATTAGTATGCTGGGCCACTCACTCTGTAACCTTTCTAGCCTGGAACTATAATTCAGGGACACATTACCACGTGGAGAAAGGGACTTTGGGATGTATTACTGACATCAAAAAACAATCTCAGTACCTTGTTTATGAGCTCAAACCCCGAGCTATTAAGACGTATTTAGACCTGCTGGATGAGAGATGCCACTGCTGTTTTTCTGCCCTGAGAATAAGGTGAATGCTTACAGACAGTCTGAAAGGTGGGATCACCTCTTCAGGAGTCTGTTAGTCTGTTAGGGGGAACTTGTTTTGACAGTGACCTTTTCTTCTTTAGCTGGAGCTGCCCTGTTCTCAAAGACTCTAAGTTCTCTCCTTCCTGGAAAGTCTACAGCCACAGAAACTAGAGTCACGTTCTAGCCTCCCTGGCAGCAGGCTGACTGAGATACTATTAAGAACACCTTGGCAACAGCAGTGCTCTGGATCTGCTTAATGATGCTAAGAGGCTTCCTTTCACATGGTGTTCTGTTCCCTGTGCTATCATGGATGGCCTGGGAGGCTTGGGGCAGAAATGCCACATTAAGCTGCTCTCCAGTCAGCTCTGCCAGAACCCAGACAAGTCGGCTTTTGACTCTGCACACAGAACTCTAGTAAGAAATCTCACTCTCCTTTCCCCCATACTCAGAGAACAACAACAGAAGTATTTTCAAGGCACAGAGGAGTCAGGTCTGGGGAGGGTGATAGGAGGGGCGGAGAAGAAACACAACACAGCAAGCCAAAGCAACAGCAAAGCAGAAATTCAAGGAGGCACTCACCTCTCTTCCGGGTCCCCGGATGCATTGTGCTGTTTAGGTAGGTGACTGCACTCTTCTTACGCTTTGGGGATTGAAGAAAGAAAGGTGACTAACACTGCCATAAGGAAAAGACTGCTGACAACACGCCAACTAGTTATTGTTAACATCTCAAGGTCTCAGGGGTAACAGGTTCTATTACATGTAATTGGCTCTCAGAGAATATTCTAGAGAGGTCTGCTTCAGATGAGAGTTGTAAAGTCAGGATGAATGAACCTTCTAAGGCAGGTTTGTGTCTGCTCAAACTTAGAAAAGAAAACCTAGCTGGGGATTTAGCTCAGTGGTGTAAGTGCTCACTTGGCAAGTATGAGGTCATGAGTCCGATCCCTGGTACCAAAAAAAAAAAGGAAAGAAAGAAAAGAAAAGAAAGCCTATAGGGTAAGCAGTGAGTAATACAACTGAAATAATGGGATGAACCAGGGAAAAACCCATCATTTCACAGAGCTGGCCAAGTACAACCAGGTGCAGCTAATGGGCAGCTTTTCAGATGGGAGGCACGGAGCACCCCATGAACCCCAAGGGATTGGGAGGAAGGACCAGGCACTGGCAGAAGTACCTCTGGCTCAAAGACGGCTCCGCTGTACACTGGATTTGCTGTTGTTCTTCTTTTTCGCTCTTGTCTCTTGCTTTGGATTTCTTGGGAAAAGAAAAGGATTCAATGAGAAGACAGGTATGGACAGCCTAAGTAACGGAACTTCATTGTTTATCTATTGGTTTTCCTGTAACGAATCAGGGACAGGACGAGTCTGTTTTCCTGCAGCCTGCGCAGAGGCAAGCACCCTCTAAAGCAAGTGCACAGGACTGTGTACTGTCACCTCTCAGGAACCAAGGCCACAGCGTGGCTCTGTGTGATCAAGAGCTTCACAGTACGCCATACTTGTAAACAAGCTGTCCTGGTTTATTTTTAGACTGATTGTACACAGGTCTGGATGAACTTTCTTCACAGACTTAGACTGAATAACAACAGTTCACCATCGATGAACTGTATAACCAGCTCAGGCAGAGCTTTGTAACTGTCCTTAAGATTCAGAATGGTTGGAAAATACAGACAAGGGCTTGTTAGGTGAGTGCTTGTCACTTTGTGTTGTCAGGATGAAAAAGTTCCCCTACGGTGCACAGAAGTCACCTTAATTCGGGGAGCGGGGAATGTTTTCCCCGAGGAGGAGTACGGATGACGCTAGGCAGGGGAGGGCCTGACATTAGATGGAGGGAAGGCAATTTTTTCTCTAAAGGAAATAAAGTCCACATTGGTTGAATCACACTCTATTTGTGTTCCAATTTTCTATTCTAGGAATTCAATCAAACACCACTTTCAGGAACAAAGATGTGGGCCAGAGAGAAGGCAGTGCCCAGAATATCTTCTCTTACCTTCTAGATGGTCATGTGTTACCAACCCTAGGGACACCATGAAGGCAAGTTTCTGTGCCGGAGAAACAAACAAACAAAAACAATGTACTTCAGTCTGGGTTCTCGCAAATACAATGGTAGCTTCTTAGTTATATACCACGGAAAGCTGACCCAGTGGGCCGGTTCCATGTGGGAGGCTGGTTTCAAAGGAACCAAGAGTGGGCGGTTCCTGAGCTGCTCTGCTGTATTCTGGTCCAACAGGGCCAAAAGAAGAGTGGGACCTACATTTTCTTTTTCTCAAGGTCAAAGATCAGCACCTGTGTTTTGGGGGGAGGTTTAAAGATAGGCTCTGCCCCTGTAGTTCAGGCTGGCCTTGAATTCATAGTGATTCTCCTGCTTCAAGAAATCTCTAACTGGAGTGACCCAAGGTTTTTTTTCCTTTCAGAAAAATCTTAAAAAGAAGAGGATTTCATACTTGAAAACACACAGCAGGTTTAGAGAGCCTCCCCTGTTACAAGTAAATCCCAGGTCACGATTTCACTTGTGATGACTAGGTCACGGCTTCTCCCATTTTTCTGCCACTGAGTAGCTAACTCAAAGCTAAATGATTTTTAGGAAGGACAGCAGGGGCTCCACTCAATATTATGATTTTTCAATTAAACATGAACCTAAAACTTATGGAGCAATTTCTGAAAAGTATTTTTAGGCCTCCATCAGAAGAAAGGATTATTAGTATACTGCACCCCAAAGATAGAATGTTAAAACATTTCCAGAGAACTAATGTTGACTTTTGTTCTTTTTGGTTTTCTGTGGTCTTCATTTCTGTGTACCACAGCATGTGGTTTCTAAATAGGTCAAAACATCATCAGTCTCTTTCTCTGATAAATAAAGAATATCTTCAATTATTACGAGACATTCTTGTAGAGTTATTAAATACTAGAGCTTGGTTTTTAAAAATCTTGACATTTTTTTCCCTTAGCATTAAACATTATATTCTTCGGCCTGAAGTGACAGATTCAGCTTATTCAAGACACAGGCTTGATTGAGAGTGTAGGTATGTCCATTATTGGTACCTTCAGGATCCTAAAGAAATATTTCTATTTCTTTTTTAAAAAATGTATCCTCTTGACAGCCAAAATATTTTGGTAAGGAAAACTAATCCCTGGACTGACTACCCATTTTGTATGCTTCACACTGAAATGTATGTATTTTGTGGCTGCCAATTAACCACATTGCGAATTCTCATTAAACTTTAAATTATAATGATGATGAGGAGGCCAGGCTTTGCATTAATGCTTTCTGCTAATAAAGCTGCGTGTGGCTTGATATTCAGAGGCATCCTCTTTTAAATCAAGGAATAGCACCCTCCTTGGCTACTACATCCAGTTCATCGTTGTCAGTCTAGATCAAGCTCATAAAATAATTAGGTGGAAAAATATCTTTTGTGGAACATATTCTCAGAGACAGAATAAAAAGTTATCAAGGAGTTTTGCCTCCGCCTCGCATATATGAAGAGCTAATTTACTCTCTGTAAGGCAGGGATTCTATTCAAATAGAAGGTGAAATATCTGCGACTCCACACACAGGCACTCGCCGCTCTCACTGTATGCCTGCCACAGACACGAGATTCTCTTCACTTTCTCGCCCCTGTCTTTCTGCTCTCCTCCTTTCTCTTTCTCTTAGTGCTATGGTTTAATTTCTTTTAATAAGGCATTTTGCTAATGATTTGCTCTATTTTTCCTCCATAGTTGTACATCTGTCATTAATTTGTGGATGATTTTACAAGTTTCTCAGCAATTTGTACAGCAATTAAAAATTCATTTCCTACCAGAATTATATTTGGTACTTATTTTAGAAAACATGGATTAACTCAATAAATCCCTGCTTTTTTATTAAAAAAAATAACATGAGGTTTTGATGGTTTCATGCCACTATCAGACATGATTTCATTACAAAGAGTGTAGTAAGGCCAGAGGGAAACGGAGTACTGATCTAATAAAACCCAGCTATCAGATATTCATCATCATATTCTCTGTCCATATTTTTTCTTTTATAGTTTGTGCAAAAGCATCAAGCTGAAATATTCTCTTGTCTAAGACATGCAGATTTGCATTCCATGTTTTTACTGGGTCCTGTGTGCTCTTTATCATTCTAGCGTAAGTTTTAGTATAGATGTTACTATTTGTCATACCTTCTTTTGTGTTTAAGTAAATGATTTTTGGGCTGATTCATTTGGGATTTGGAGTCCTAATGCAATAAAATGGTAATAACAAAAACGCACATTTAATTCCCATAACCAATAATTTAAACAGATATAGAAGAGTGAAGTGGACATCTTACAAATGTTTGACAAAAAACAGAATGTAAGTAATTATTTCAAATAAAATAAGATAGTCGGGAAAATGATCATTACTCTTATATTTCAAAATTGTGTTATGTATACAAACAACATCATTTTAAAACTATTCTTCTGAAATACTGAAATACACAGCAGTGCAAGGCCTCTTAGGGACCACACTCTAAGAAATTTGCCCTCAGCCAACCTACTTGGCACTAATATTGCTGAATTAAAGAAAGCACAAGAATAGGAATGTGGAGTGGTTTGCAGAGCAGGCGTCCCTCCTGTTGTGTGAGAATACATCACATCACCGAATGAGTCATCACGGACTGGAAAGATGGGCCTACCTGCGGGTTTTCTTCCCGTTTTGGTTTGGGTGCAGCAGGAGGGGTGATGGTACGGCTTTCTGTCTGTTTTTCATCTGTTTCTGTGTGGGATTTAACTGTCTAAGGGAGAAAAATTAAAAGAAAATTCAAAATTAAATTCTTATTAAAGGAAAAAAAAAAAAAAAAAAAAAACCAAGAAACAGTTTAACTGTGGCCAAGACAAAATAAAAGAACACACTCAAATTTGGAACACATTAATAGAGGAGTTCATGTTAGGATTTCATGGGGGAAATAAAGTGTTAAAACTTAGCTAAAGATACTAAATAATAAAACTGCAGGAAATTGGGCTACATGCAAAGTCTAAATTATACAAAGAGAAAAATTCACGTCATTAATTCCTGTATATAAAAATGAAGTACAGGCTGCTCTCTCTGATCTCCATATTTTGCAGAAAGTAGGTGTTATTTCCCAGAAGCAAGGCCACTGTCATTATATAGGAGTCAAGCTGTAGCCCACAGCACACTACAGAGCTGACTGATGTTTACATCTTACATATATACACATTCTTCAAAATAATCCCAATCTAGAGAGAGTGAGGAACTATCTTAATTTGGGATATTTAAAGTCTGCCTATGTCACATCCACTAGAAAGAGAGCAGTTCTCAAGGAAGGGCCATTTTGCAAGAGGTTAAGAGTCCTGATCATCCCCAATGCTTTCTAGAAGCATCTACAGGAACATAAGCACTACTTGCATTACTGTATCCGAACAGAAATGGTAGCTAGCACATTGATAAACTGTGCTTTTATTACTACCCTAAAGGGTAGTAATAACCTAGAGGGCTAGTTATGTTCTATAAATATTCTGATGATTTTTAGAATAGTATGGATATAAAACTATAAATATAAACCTACTTTATTTTTTCAAAATTGAAAAAAATTGCAGTTATGATAGTTTTTTGTATGGTAATCAAAAATAACTTAAAAACTTAGAATGAAAGTATCTTATTGTCCACATGCAGGAGCCAAAGTGCAAGACTGGTCCTCTAAACACAGCATCAAAAGGTTTTGAAAATCATAACGTACACAATGTTTTCTAGACTTAAGAAGTTAACGAAAATCACAAAGTTCTTTCACACCCATGGCCACCTCATATTTCCCCTCGGCTTTCCACATTCTTACATCAGGAAAGTGCCATCATCTATCTTAGCAGCACTTGAAAACTACTGATCTTCCAGTCATACCGTACGTCTCCCCTTTATACTATAAACTAGTTGAGAGTGAGGACTGTTTTACACAAGCCTTATGTTCCCCCCCAAGTGAAAGGCAAGAACCTCTGAAACAAACCAAACCAAAAAACAGCAAGCACCTCATGGTTTGTAGTATACAACAGAACCTGACTGATCTGAGTGAGGAATATATCCTACCATGAGAATCATTTCAGGTCTCTCTGGTCTCTGTCTGTCTGTCTGTCTGTCTGTCTTAGTTTTACATTTAAACAAAAAGGACATGTTCCCTCCATTACACAAACCTGCAATGGAAAATGGGCTAACATTTTTGAGGTCCTGGGTACTCAGAATGACTCTTTGGATGTGAAAGGACAGAAGCAGGAGGGCGCAGAGAGGAGGCCAGGTACAAGCCTTGCTGACCCCTGTCCGACTCTCACTGCCCTTCCCCGGATGAAGAGAGCACCGGCGGCAATGCTTCTGGGGAAGCCTATCAATCCCTCCCCACCGAAGAACTACCTGGGTTTGAATTTCCCTCTCACACAAGGAGGGACCCTCTTGGAGAGTCTCATAAAGGATATCATGAGCCTCCAAACAAATAAAAACAAGGCAATCAAGACAATGGTAGAGATCGTCTTTCTCTCATGCACCTGCCAGTGTGAGGAAGCCAGCAGCCATGTTGTGAGCAGCTCTGCTGAGAGCGAGTGGTAAGGAGCTGCGCCTCCTGCCGGCCGCAGTGGAGCAGTGAGGTCTCCAGGGCCGCCTGCGGGAGTAGATGGGATGGAAAGTGCTCAACGCTGGTTAGGCCTGGAGGGGACTGCAGTCCTGGTCAACTAGTCTGATCACAGACTCACGAGGGACCGTGAGCTGGAGCTGGAGCCAACCAGCTAAGCTTCAGATGAGAAAGCTGTACAGTGACACACTTAGAGCGAGGAGGAGGAAACCCCCCAACAAATGCCACCACCAACCAAAAATGCTGTATCTTACAAAGCTTTTCTTCAAAAATGAAGTGAAGACATTTCCAGATAAATAAAAGATGAGGACATTCATTGCTAGTACATTTGCCTTAAAAGAAATACCAAAGGGAGTCCTTCAGGCTGAAATGAAAGGCATTAGTAACTCAAAACCATATGAAGATAGCCGGGAGTGGTGGCTGCCTGTAATCCCAGCACTGGGGAGGCTGAGGCGGGAGGATCGCTGTGAGTTCAAGACCAGCCTGGGCTACAAGGTGAGCTCAAGGCCAGCCTGAACTGCACAGCGAGACCCTGTCTCAAAAAAGACAAAAAAAAAAAAAAAAAAAAAAGAAGAAATAACTCCAATAAAGGTAAGTACCTAGGTAAATAAAAGCCAATATTATTATACTTTTGATTTGCACTTTTTCATTTTGTTTCCTATATGATTTAAGAGAATGCACAAAACAATAATTATAAAGCTCTATTAATAGGAAGACAATATATAAAGATACGATTTATAAAAAAAGCAACATAATGTTGGGGATGACAACTACATAGGAATGGAGTTTTTGTATATTACTGAAATTAAACTAGAGCTGCTGTAATCCTAGCATGCAAGAGGCTGAGGTAGGAGAATCTCCATGAGTTCAAGGCTAGACTGGGTCACATAGTAAGTTCAAGGTCAGTCTGAAATGCACAGCAAGACCCTGTCTCAAAAAATAAATAAAAAAACAACAACAACAAAAAGAAACTAAACTGTTTAGTTTTAGTTAAAACTAAAGTGTTTAAAAACTTATGAATAGGGGCTGGAGGTTTAGCTCAGTGGCATAAATGCCCAATTTGCAAGCAGGCAGTCGTGAGTTCGATCCCCGGTACCGATAAAAAGGAAAAAGACAAAAAAAAAAAAAAAAAAACTTATGAATATTAACTGTAATCCTCATGGTAACTACTAAAAATTATATACAGAAAAGGAAATGAAGAAAGTATAAAAATGGTACAAGAGAAAAAAAAAGGCAGCAGTGCTGGAGGAAATTAAGAAGAACAACAAAAAGACTTGTATATAGAAAACAAGTGACAAAATGGTATAAGTCCTTTCCTATCAGTAATCACTTTAAATGTCACTGGACTAAACTCCCCATAAAAGGCGGAGCGTGGTAGAATGGATACAACAGATGATTCAACACAATGCTGTCTGCTATAGGTTCGTTTTACCATGAAGACATAAGAAGGTTGAAAGTAAAAGGATGGAAAGAGATAGTTCATGCAAATAGTAACCAAAAGGGTACAGGGACAATTACAGTGTTAGACAACATTGACTTAAAGTCACAGCCTTTATAAGAGACACAGAGTAGACGGTTAGTATATATGAAAGAGCTACTTTAAAAGAAGATATAATAATTGTAAACACATATCCATCAAACACCGAGTCCCAAACATCTGAAGTAATATTGACAGAACTGAGAAGAGAAACAGGCTGCTCTAATACCTCATTTTAAGTTACAGATACAGCATGTAGGCAAATAAAGCATGAAAAAGGATATAAAGGACTTAATATACTATAAATGAATTAAAGAAATCTCCATCTAACAACAGTACACACTCTTCTCAAGTATACTGGGAACCTTTTCCAGGACAGAATATGTTTTAGGCTACAACATAAACACAAAATACCAAAACTTAGGCAATGCAGTGAAAACAGTGTGGAGAGAGCTAATTCATAGTTATGAACAAGTGTGTATTACAACGAAGACCCCAAATCAATCACCTAACTTTACACTTGAAGAACCAGATAAAAGAACACATCCCAAAATAAAGATTAAAGTGGAGATAAATGAAATAGAGAACAACAGAATCTTTAAATGAATAGTTAATTCTCTGCAAATATCAACACATTTAATAAACTTTTGGTTAGACTAAGGAAAAAAGACAAGACATAATGACTAAAATTAAAAAATGAAGGTGGGGCATTATTATGAACCTTAACAGTAGTAAAAACCATTATAGAAATAAGTTAAACAATTATACGCCAACAAATTAGATGACACAGGTGAAAGAGACAAATCTGACCAACAGTCTACCAAAACTGACCCAAGATGAAACAGAAAATCTAAATTGCTCTGTAACAACAGAAGAGGTTGAAACAGCAATCAAAATCCTTTCCTAAATCAAAAAGTATAGGGCCAGATGGCTTCACTGATAAATTCTACCAGATATTTAGAGAAGTTAGCACTAATCCTTTTACAAAATCTTCCAAAGAAATTCATTTTATGATGTCAGCATTATCCTCCTCTACCAAAGCTAAAGATATCGTATGAATAGGACATTACAGATCAAGTCCCCTCATGAATATAAATGCAAAAATCCTCAACAAAAAACAGCAAACTAAACTCACTTTCCCCTATGTGTCTGAAAATATATATTTATATGTGTAATATATATTATATTTTTTTTGAGACGGGGTCTCATTATGTAGTCTAGACTGGCCTTGAACTCACAGCAATCTTACTGCTTCAGTCTCCCCAGTACTCTGCCACGTTGGGCTCCAACAGCACATCAGAAGGCTGATATACTCTGACGAGCTGATTTATACCAGGAATAAATCTGGAAGGATGGGTCACCATAATAAAATCAATGTAATATACTACTTGAATAGAACTAAGGAAAACATGATCTTAACTGGTGAAGAAAAAGCATTCAACAAAATCCACACAGTAGGGGTGTAGCTCAGTAGAGTACTTCCTAGGATGCATGAAGCCCTAGGTTCAAGTCCCAGCATCATGCACATTCAAAAAAAGATCGAGCACCCCACCACACATAAAGGTAACTCCATGAGATGAGGTAGAATGTTAATTAGCTTGACTGTAGTAACCATTTCACTATGTATTTGTGTGTTAAACCATTATACTGTAAAACATTATATATGTGATTTTTATTTTTAAAAATC